GATTGATCATTTAAAAACTGTTATCACATATGTATTTTTAATAGTGTTAATACCAATATTTTGAGAACCTTAATTGGATTCAAAGTCGATAGATGGTCGATAGATAGATAGATAGATAGATAGATAGATAGATAGATAGATAGATAGATAGATAGATAGATAGATAGATAGATAGATAGATAGATAGATAGATAGATAGGCAGGTGTTGATTATGATCATTCCTGCACTTATTGTAATGATAAATGGAGAGTCGGGCTAACTTGATGGATAAGACTCCCCAGCAACAACATCTCAGTCATATCAGAAACTTGAGACTCACGGTTCTCCTCCCCATCACAGCCACAGCGACCTGAGGCAGCACACCTACCATCCCAGTCAGGAATGTAACAACTTAAACCACCTGTTAGCCTCCACGTGTGACACAAACTTGTAGTATACCTGTGTTACAGTACAGACATGATATACTGACAGGAATATGAAAGATAGGAAGTCCATTTAGTGAAAAAATATTTAAGTAGTCTGTGTTAAGGTATCATTTTACTTTTTAGATTGGCTGTATTTTCAACATTCCTCTTAAATGTAACTGTGAATAGTTTCAACATAAACATATTTTGCCCACTTTGACATGTGTTTTATTCATCTGCATGTTCCATTCTTACATTAAATCTGTGTTTTTAATAATGTAAGGTAACTGATTAAGCAACATTGCCAAACAAACTTAGTTTTAAAACCTCTAATTTGAGGATATGCTGTTTTTTCTATGTCTTTTGGGACATCAAATTGAATATTTTTAAGCAATCTTCCCACATAACATTGTTATCACAGTTAAAGTCTTGCGTCACCATGAAATGTAATGTTTGATGTTGGCTTAAAACAAGCCAACAAACAAACAAAAAACCCTGCATTTTGAACAAATCGCACACTCCCTGCTCCCTGAGATCCCTGCCCTGTGGCCCCCCGGGGGTCCTTGGCCTTTAGTTTGAGAACCAGTGGCCTCCAGCAGCAGGATTAGCCAGGCCAGCTGCCCAGAGAGACCCTCGGCCCTGGACGCTGACACCAGGCCTGACCCCGGGGTGGCTACTATCAGCGACACTGACGGGATTTGGACAGCACTTGGTGTGTGTGTGTGTGTGTGTGTGTGTGTGTGTGTGTGTGTGTGTGTGTGTGTGTGTGTGTGTGTGTGTGTGTGTGTGTGTGTGTGTGTGTGTGTGTGTGTGTGTGTGTGTTGTTCATTCAGTTGGACAACTGTTGAGCCAGTACAGATTTGTGCAGCGGTGTTCTTTGTACGTGTGTGTGCGTGCTTGTATGGTCAATTCTTTCCGGGGGTTAACTGCTGATCCAGTACAAATGGGAGGGGTTGGGGGAGGGCTGAGGGCAGTCGTGTGCTCCTGGAACATCTGCCTCTGTTTCTCCTGAGTCAAGCTTTGGTCAGGAGTGGGGGAGGCAGCAGGGGGGAGGAGATGGAAGAGGAGAAGGAAGGGTCAGTGTAGGAGGAGGAGGAAGTTGAAAAGATACAACGTGAATAGGCGACAGACCCAAACACTGACTGTTGAAAATGGGATGCAGGATTATATAAACCCCTCTCCACCTCTGGTCTATTGTGTTCACATATAGGGGCATGAATTTAAAGCGTGTGCAGTGCTGAAGTGTAACTAAGTACATTTACCAAAGTACTTATGCTTATACTCGACTGCATCTCAGAAACAAATATTGTTATTTTTACTACACTACATTAGTCAGACAGCTGCGATTACTTTTCAGATAGCAGTCTTTAAGACACTTCTTGTCGAGTGAAACCATACATTAGCATACGTTTAGGTTAAATGTACTATTTTAAAGCTTTTTGGATGGACGAGAGTAAAATGCAACATGCAATGATGTATTAATGTAAAAAATACAAATTTGAAAGTTGTCTCAATTGTTATGGTAATTTATTTTTATATATAATCAGAGACAATGGAAGCTTACAGATTTTAAACAAAAGAGGCCCCAGAATAGAGCCTTGGGGAACTCTGTATGCCTGATTGTCGCTCAGATGTGTAATTACCTATATACTAGAAGTGCCTGTCATTCAGAGTTTCCTACTGTGCCAGGAAGTCCCACACAGCATTTTCAATTGATCTAGTAATATGTTGTGGTCAACGTTCACTACAGTACTGAGTTCCAGTAATACTACTGAAACTTTGCCACTATCTGTGTTTAAGTTGATGTCATTAAATACCTTAACACGATAAGTCTCAGTGCTGTGGTGTGGGTGACTGTGAGGCAACAGAACAGTTGTTTAGTGCCAATGTTTTTTTCAATATTACCCTAAAGCAGGTGGTTTGATGTGGGCCTAAAGTTTTTTTTGGCAATGAGTGCAGTTTACAGTGCTGAGACACCTCAGAGAACAGAAGTTTATGTCGCAGATCTAAATCCATGAGGTTTAGATTGATTTTTGTAATTCAAGTTGGCAGAAAATAAAGGTATCTACATGGGGAATTTCAGATCTTGAATAAAGTCCTTCAAGTTGTTATTTTTTTTTTTTTTTTTTAACTGTTTATTTTCATTTTAACAAAACAAGATAAGACAAGACATATCCTGACATAAAGTTGTTATTGTTAATTCGATAAAACTGTGTCATATCTTGGTCCTGGGTGACATTGTAGGCCTTATTAAGACTTAACCATCACAAAAAGCATTATTGGTGGGTAAAAACACTATGTTGCTGATCTGGAAAGATACAATTAATTTAAAAAATAGCACTCAATCTGTTGACAGAACAGAAAGAAAAAAAGAAAACTTTTAAAGGATAACGTCAAACTGCATTTACAACTATACAGTATGTGCTTGTATACGTTGTAAGCCTTGGTCATCGGTTCGTCTTTATTTTGTGTGACTACACTACGGTTGTATGTTGATGTACTTTGTATTGCATGGTTGTTGTTTATGTTGAAAATAAAAATAGCAATTCAGTCTGATTATCAGGCTTTCAACCTGAACCTAAACCTGAGACATTACCTGGATCTTTAAAGTTTAAAAGTTTTGAACAAGGGCGAAGAGAAGAAGAGAGCAGCTGTTTATTCAACGTATTCACAGGTCTGCTGCCTGATTCATCAGGAGCAGAATCTGCTGAATTGGCCACGTATGAGTTCAACACCAGGAATTGGAATCACATTTTTCTGTTGTTCCATTGTATTTACACCAAAATAGAAATAGTACTAAAAACAAGGCCAAACAAACTGAACAAGAGTAAACATAAACATTTAGCTAATGTAGGCCTAGAAGTTGGTAAAACAAGATGAATACATATTTTTAAAGTATATACAGTATAAACACACTACAAGAAGGAAAACTAAATACAATGTAAGACTGTTTTTATCAATGGTAAACGACAATAAAATAGTGCAATGTTGTAAAAATATGCTGGAAGGACTTGTGTAACAGATTTTTCTAATACTTGACATTGGTTGATATTTACAGCATGTATACATGTCACCTTATAGACTTAAATTGGATCCTTGATCATTATAGTCGCAGGTGTTTTTGGAAACAGTATGAAAGCAGTCATCGTATCTGATTACTTACAGTATTACAACACGGACTGAACTGCTCCCCTCATCTTTGGAAAAGCCTTTAAAAAGACTTGAAGCTAAGAAATGTGTCTCCATGCAGGATTTTGAAGTTTTTTGAAGTACAATTGAATGATTTGGTTGGGACCTGTCACTGTGCGTAGCATTCGAACATTTCAAGACTTTATGCCTTACTTAAAGTTTTTCTTGTGGTAGTTGTTAACTTTTTATGTTGCCGTCTTGGGCAGGTCTCTCTTCTGAAAGAGATTGTTGTTCTTACCCCGTTAGATATGGGTTGAATCAATTATACACAGAAAACAAAACATTGCACAAGTTCTGTCTAAAACCAAGATGCATATGTGGTCTTCATGAGTTCAGTGGTCATAACTTTCCAGTGCAATAACGGGGGGCAGGTTTACAACGCAGCTCCTCCCTCCTTGAAGATCAGTTGACTAGGAGGGGCTGGATTGTCCTCCCAGTCCACAGAGCATCTGGCTGAGGAACGACAGATGCTGACAGCTGGACTGACACCCAGCATATGTCCCTTTCTTTATTCCTGCTCCACTCAGACAATAGAGTAGAAGGGACGGGGGTGCTTTGTGTGGAGAAGGTAGACCTAATAGCTTGTGACTCCAGAAAAGAGCCCCCATTCTCCAGGAGAGCCTGGAGAGCAATTAGCCCGTCTCTGATCCTAGCCTGGGGAGTTATTATGGGTGGACTGAGCCCACAAAAACCTCTATAGTCTATTCTCATTCATGCCACATTAAGATGTTTATTTTTTCATTACTGCGCCAGTACAATGATGATTTAAGTTTGTTGTCCAAATTGTGTTTCAGGGATAACTGCACACAGTATTTTATAATAGTATTAATCAAACACACAGGGTTGGCTAGTAACGGATTACATGTAATCGGGATAATGTTAACAGATTGCAATAAACAAATAGCTAATCAGTCCAGATAACATTAGAAGAAAATGCTGCAATTTGAGTTACATGGTTGAGGTTTATTTGATAACATTTCTGATCATGTCTTTAAAATAAAACAAATGTAAAATGATGAAACTTTAAACAATATGATAATGTTGGTTTGATTAAACAAAATCGGCACGAAACAAGTGACAATACAAAACAAGTAAAATATGATTTGTTTTTATAGTAGGTCACTTTTCTCAGGTTGCCCTTTTTTTTTTGCAAATGGTGACTTTACTTGAAAATGTTCGTAAAACTTTCAACAGAAAGACTATTTTTTTGTGTAAATGAATTATTTTCAATGTTTGATCCTGAAGAAGTCCACATTATTCAGATTAGATCGCCTATGTGATTACAAATGTAATGTATTCTATTCAATTCAGTAATTTCAGAGTAATCTGACCCAACCCTGCACACTTACTCTGGCCGCTACGTGCGCCGAGCACGTGTGCTTTGTTTTGCTACGTGATGACGTCACCCAATGCGTAACATAGCGGAAGTAATTTGAATTTACACCAAGTAGACACAACACGGATACATGCAGCTCACTTACACCAATATTAAAGTAAGTCTCTGCTATGCGAAGCAGTAATATGGGGCGAAAGTATTCACATACGAGTTTGTTTGTAAGCACAGGACACCCAGAAGCCTCGCAATGAATGAGTTTTTAGAGGTTAGGAGCTAAGCTAACTGTTAGCATTGAGATCTATTTTCATTGAATAGAGTCACAGTGTGTTTTTCTGCGAAGTGCAACTGAAACAGTCACACTCATGAAATTCATACACAAGATGTTACACATTGCCATTAAAGCGGCCGTTCAATACACTGCTGGTTACCTGACACGTTGTGAATGAACTCCCCTTTCTGTCTCTTCTCTGCAGGAATGGGTGTGAAAGGTCTTCAGAGCTTCATGGACCGCTGCTGTCCAGAGGCGTGTGTGTCTGTGAACCTGAGAGAAATGTCCCGACAACACGCTGCTAAAAGACAGACAGGCTGCACGACCACTGCTAACAGTACCAGTTGAGTTTATATCAGTGTGCAAGTAGTCATAGTCAGAAGTTGTGTGTATATTTTGGTTGTTCTGTTCATCTTTGTTTTAATGTTGTGTCTCCTTGCAGTTGTTTGTCATCGTTTTTAGTAGTTTTGTGTCTCTTTGTGGTTGTTTTGCCCCTTGTTGGTTTTATTTGATGTCTTGTTGCTGTGCATCTTTGTGTAGTGTTTCTGTGACTCTGTTGTTATTACGTGCATCTGTCTGGTCTGGGCAATGAGCCAATAAATTAGCTTAAATTTGAACAAATCAAAAATACATTTTATACACATCTTTTCATAATATAGATATTTATAGTATGACATTTGTTAAAGCATTTTATGTATCTTCTTTTGGCCAAGTCAAGTATCTTATTTTAAGCTATGGTAGTTGGTTACTTGATTACCAATACAAACGCTGCTGCTCCCAGCTACATACGTTGATTTATCATCAAGTGAAGCTGGTAGCTTGAATCCGTAGAGTAGTGCAAACAGGAATACAGACAAAGGTAAATCAGTGACAGCCAAGGATATCAGTGTGAATGGCTGGAATCAATCAGGAACACAATCTTGATGATCTAATAAAACCAAAAGAGTCAAAATGACAGTAAATTACAAATGTCTTTCTGTCAATCATTTGGGTTAGCATGCAGACCGGCACTTTGTTACAGTTGTGTTTCCCCTCCCATCAGGACCCACACTTGTTGTGGATGGTATGGCCTGCCTGCGCCACTGGTACTCGTGTAAAGATTGGGTGTGTGGGGGGCAGTGGAGGGAGTACATGGATGGGCTGAAGGGCTGGGTGGAGGCCTTCAGCTCAGCTGGCATCAGACTGGTCTTCTTCTTCGACGGAGTGGTGGAAGAGCAGAAGAGACGGGAGTGGGTGAGAAAAGAAACTCTGAACTTTTGGCGTTCAAATAATCAAACTTGAATATGGTGCAAGCCGGGCCTTTTTCTGTAGCACTATAGTGCAGATGTTAAGTTCAACTTCAACTTTATTGTCATCCAATCACATCCAAAGTATCCCTTTAATAATGTCATAGCATATCGGACACAAAGTATGAAACGGCTCTCATATTTAACTATTAACTTGCAGAAGGACTGTGATTTACTCAATTTAAGATCATCCTTCTGTGAACAACATCTCCTTCTGTCCACAGGTGAAGAGGAGACGCAGAGTGAACGGGCAGATTTCTAAACTGTTTCGTCACATCAAAGCTCAGGGAGAGCAGCCCGGTAGAGAGCTCTTTTGTCTGCCTTCTGGTCTGGCAACATTCACACGCTTTGCTCTCAGGTCAGCATTTTCAAGACCAATTACGATGAAATCACAGTCATCTAAACACTGTGAAAATAAGTTTCTAATTGTTCGCAAGTTATTTTACAATGAGTTGAATCTGATATCCAATAATCGTTCTTGTTATACTTTTCTTAATGTATATTTGACTGTTCGCAGGTCACTGGGTCAGGAGGTGTTTTGCTCAGTGCGGGAGGCTGACTATGAGATTGCCAGCTATGCTCGTCAGCATGGTAGTATGGGCATTCTGGGACAGGACTCCGACTTCATCATATATGACAGGTTTGTTAAATATTAGAGTAAATATATCGACCTAAAGGCATATTGTTTTCAATAACATTAAAATGAACTGATAAAACATTTGCACAGAGAGTTTGAAATTCATTGAACTTTACTATCTTTTAGGATCTGTTGATAATTCCATGCAATATGGGTAATACAAATAATAGGAAGAAATCAAGAATAGCTTTTTAAAGCAGGCTAATTCACATTTGAGTACCTGCTTACAGTTTAAGTGCTGAAATTGATTTATTGATTTTCGGGAATTTATTTATAAATTGCTCATGGAAAAAGTTGTATCTTTTAAAGTGCCCCCTGCTTCTCTGTGGCAAAGCTGCGGATACACAGCCTAACCACGGTCATGTACGACCGACAGAGGCTCTGCCAAACCATCGGACTGACTGTTGCCCAGCTACCACTGCTGGCCTGTCTCCTAGGTAACGACGTGGTGTCAGAGGATAAGATGCTGCACATCAGGAACAACGCCATGGCAACATACAGGTGACTTGGGTTTTACTTTGAGGGTTGCTCTTAGTTGAATTCATCTTTAAAAGTGGCTTTTAATCAATGTTTTTGTTTCTTAGGATAGACAACCCCACAGCACACTCTGGTGCTCCCCAGGGGCAGATGGTTATGGCTGTATCCCACCTCGTGAGCTCTGTGTGGGGCAGAGAGGAGCAAGAGACTGGGCTCATCCCTCAGACTCTGAATCTGTCAGCTCCTCACAGAGAGCTACTGAAGAGAGGCGTTCGCTCTTATTTACTACCTGGAGAGGAAGCTATTCAGCTCGGTGACATCTCTGCACCTTCCTCTGCCTTTGAGAAACATGTTAGTTCAGAAATATTAAAGGTATGTCCTGTACCTCCTTTAACTCATCAACGGAGAAGACCTGAGAGCCAAAACCTCCTCTGACTTAAAGGTCCCATGACATGGCCATTTCTACTGATCATAATTCCATTGTTGAGTTCTACAGATTTACATTGTTCAATGTTCCAAAATCACATTGGTTTCTCATACAGCATCTCTGTATAGTATGTGTATTCTCTCTGTCCTACACGCCTTGTTGGAGCTCCTGCCCCTCCCCCCCTCCCTATGAGCCCACTGTGCTCTGATTGGTCAGCTCGCCCACTCTGTTCTGATGAGTCGACCACCGTTACAGCGGAACATCAGTGTTTATGTGTTACAATGGCGTTTGTTAGAAACCAGAAAATGACACCAGTAATGACAAACAGATGAGAATGCTGCGTGGGGTCTGGGTGCCGTGTTGGCGGGACGTTGCGGGGCTCGCTGCTCCGCCCTTTGAGGCTTGAGGAGCGGACAGTGTGAGCTGTATTACTGGTGTCGTTTCCTGGTTGCTTCTTGCTTCGTGGGGTCTGCGAGACAGCGAGACACCGCGGAACTCAGCCTGAGCACACACACATACTCACAGCCTGGCTGTGTGCAGAGATCCGCGGAGATCCGCGGAGATCCGCGGAGCCGCGGCTGAGAAAAGATAAGGCTGAGTGAGTGTGTGTGCCGGCGAAGCTCCGCGGAGTACCACGGCTGAGAAAAGATAAGGCTGAGTGTGTGTGTGTGAGGAGCTCCGCGGATTGTTCCATTTGGACCTGGGTATCGTTACGTCACTGTACTCGGGAAGAAAAAAATGGAAAAAGAAAAATCTCTAACGAGGCGTTCTGGGGCAGCATAGACAGGTCTTTTCTGTGTTAGAGTTTTACTCGCTACAGGGTGTACTTTGAGGGTTTGTGACTTTGCAGACCGCTTACATGCATAAAAAGCTACATAACACACAAGGGGACGGGTAATAACCAGAAAAGCATGACATGGGACCTTTAAAGAGATATGCATATGGAGCATAAGAAGTGTGCAACATTTTTTCCTACTTTCAAATCTTTCTTCCAGTGATCAGCAACTCAACAAGTTATCTGTTACTGTAACACTATAATACACAATATATTACATATCAAATGATCTCATTATGTTTAAATGTGTTCTTCTCCAGGCCTGTAGAGAGAAGCATGTAGCAGCAGAGGGTTTCATGGTTTACAGTGTTTTGTGTGAGGGAGTGATTGAGTGTAGCAACACTCTGGAGGATGAGGAGGACACTGAGCTGCTGCCTCAGGCCCTCGTCTACAAGCCCTGCAGACAACGCATCTATGGGCTGCTGCTGCTCAACGGGCATGAAGGTAGGACAGTAGATTAATGGAGATCATAAATACATATATACACACAGACACAGATACACATGCACCCTGGCTAAACCATGCATTAAGTCAGAGAACAACAAATGTAACATACGGTCATAATCACAAAAATGTACACAAGCAAATGTAACTTTCTCAGGAGAGTCTCAAGTATACCAACCATGTAGTCATACTCTGTTTGGTTTAGGCCAGGTGTGACGCCTGGGAAGAGCGGCAGGAGGCCTGACATGGAGCACATAACACCAAGGTTACATTGCCGGATCATAATTTGTTCATAAATGACCTCTTTAGCCCTCCTCCTGCCAATTTCTACACAGATTTGATGTTTACAATGTAGCATTATCAGGTGGGAAAAGGGTGTGTCACCTGGAAGAGTTGATAGTGATTTTACTGCGTCTCAAACACATCTTATATCCACCACAGGAGGAAGTGACACTGTTAGTCTTAAGCTCTTACCGTACCAGTGGGCACGAATAAGGTCACATTTTCAAAAGTGTGGCATCAACTTGTTACCACAGTATCAGTTTAATGACATCCCAGCTATACGCCAGGTAAAAGTATGTTTGATATCAAGCAGGAATGATTCGAACATTAACATTTTCACATGCAGCTCCTCCGGGTAAAGTATAAATAATGTCAGGGTTGCAGCGCGTGTGTGAAACTGGCTGACCCTGACCCTAACTCTGACTCTGTGTTTTCAGGCAGCAGGGTCGACCTTCCAGCCATCAGGGAATGGTTCGTCTACGCTGGAAACGCTCTGAAGGAGCCTGACATGGTCCATCCCGTTCCAATCAGCCTCCAATGTACTGTACCTGCTGTTTTCCTCACATACTTCACATACAAAATCTGATTTCCATCTAGTAACGCCAGGTGATGATAATTAAGACGATGAGGACATGAGTGTTTTGGAATGCTTCCTTGGAATGATAATTTCCTCTATAATTAAATTATTCCTCGGCATCAATGAGTGTCGGAAAGGCTGTGAGAAGCTTCGCCTGGTTGTGCTTAATACATTAAAAGCATTTGCCTCATTTCCTGGAGTGTTTTCCAAAACAAAGACAGCATGTTTTTCTCTGTTTGAATGTGTAGATAATCCGCCCGTTCTGGACTTGTTATGGTTCGGTAACGGTCCTGAGGTTTCGTCTCTCCGCCTGAAGTCCTTCCTTTCGATGTTTGACTGCCAGGAGCTTTCAGAGTTATATGGAGCTGTTGAAGACTCTCTCCTGGCTGCTCTCTGCCTCGTCACCTACATAGCCCTCCAGGTATCACCAACTCTTTCGTTTTTCTTTGATAGTTTTTAGGATAAGGAAGGAAATAAACAGAGATCAATAGCCTAGCTCAAATACATGCAGAGGAGGGATTATTTGAGTAAGATGAATTTAACAGGAACATGTGGAAATACTTTGTCTAACTACATTTAGTCCAAAAAGGGAAACTGAAAAGCCCACTTAAGATTTGAACAAGCAGTCCAATGATTTCATTATGGGACTTATTACTCCCATATCTCAAGAATCATATAAATGTGTCAGAATGTATGTCTATAGAAACAATGAATGGAAAATGTCATTACGTTTTATGTTATTTTAATTGAAAATACATACGTGGTTTTCTCCCTGGTGGGTGTTCTAATTGCTAAAACACATGAACACATTATTAGTCATGGATACTTCACTGAGATTTATGTGGCTGTTCTGGTTTTCATTGGTCAGGCTGCATGTTTGGCCTAGCCTTCAATGAATATGTTAAAATGCTCAATGAGGAGGCATCAGTTTCTACCGAGGCATTTCAGTCCAGATAATGGCAGTGTATGGGCAGTAAAGCTACACCTGGTGATTTATGTAAACAGAAAATGAAAGACTAAATATATTTGGTGACAATTAAACACACAAGTCAGCTTTTGATTTGGGATTTACTACAGCAGTATATACAGTAATTATTCCACCCTTTGTCAACTTGTGATTTGGAGTTAAACATCACTTGTTGACAGTCTGTTCTCTGTTGTTTGGCTTAATGGTAGCCACTATCATGCAGGGCCCAGTTTAGCCGCAGACACTGGTCTTTGTAACTCCGGCTCTTGCGTCAACAACGGCTCTGATAACCACCCAGGAGCTTTGAATATCTTAAGAGCCAATACCTTATTCACCCTATTACAATTGGGTCCTTATTTTGGTTTTACATTGTAATGTGTCCTTTTTGTAATTCTGTTGTAATGCCTTGTTGTCCTAGCACAGAGATAACTTTTCAAAGTTTGTTAAAGAAGCAGAGATTTGTGTTTTTGCTTTGTACATACTGCATATACGTCATCTGATTGAGCTTTAACACACAATAAATCACGGGAGCACAACACCTGGATAAAGGTGCATGCGTCATTTTGCAGAATCTAAACACAAATTACACTGTCGATTCATTTATCAACTACAAAACAAAAAGACAAAAAATGTATCTCCAAAGAAAATAATCAAAGTGCTTTTATTGAAACATCTTTGTGTATAAGAAATATACAATACTTTAGTTTAGTTTCAAGGAACTGTAATCAATCATTGCATTCCAATAAAATCGTCGGATTGAAAAAGAAAGTACATATTTTTTAGCAGATCCAGAGATATCGTCTATTCAAAATATGTTGCCTTTATTACCTTTTGAATTAAAATGCTACATCTTTTCTAACAAAATAGCAAGCAAGCCAACTTTTTCAAGTCACAGGTGAGAATATTCACAATTAAAAAAATAGTGTTTTATTACAAATCGCAATAAAATCCTGTTGCCCAATTCCTAGAACCAACCACATTGTTTTTACAGTAAAAAATGAACTTAAAAACACAACAAAAACACATGAACAGTGACCAGAATCAAACATACAATCTGTGATATTTTTACAAACCAGCTAAATGTTAACCAAATTCTACCCAGAAGCACTTTTTTTATACAGATTTGAACAAAGTGCTTACAAACACTTACATTAACAGGCAGCCTTTTAGACAGATTTAGATGGACACTTGAAGCCAATCATTTAAATGGATGAAGGACCATCAGACAGACAGAAGAGCATCTTGTCAGGCTGCCGTTGGATGAGTGGTCAGGCCGACAGACAACAGTAGCTGTTGTTGTCTAATCGCTGCTGCATTCACATTCCCTCGTCACTCTTCAATTTAAATAACTGCAGGGTTTGTTTTGTACACACAACTGGGCAGCCTTGTTTCTGCATCCAGCATTGTTCCTTTCTCTGTTGAATTGTTGCACAGACAGCAGACCAAACAAACTGAGCCACACAGAACACACACTGGATGTGATTGAATTGGCTAACCATATATTGTCCACTGTGCGGGTGTGTGTGTGTGTATGTATGTGTGGTGTGTGTTTTCAGATACAAACGTTGTCTCAGGAGGACTGTGATGCTTACCTGAGTCAGGCTGTGTGTCTGAGACTTAAATCCCCAAAGGAGCTTCAACATATCAAGGTTAGTAACAAACACACATTCTTCAATGCTTTTTTTTCCTTCAGAACAGATCAGTTTTCAGATTTCTACTCACTGGCTTCGTCCTGATGCACCCTCAAGTTGTTGAGTTTCCTGCCGCACAAAGACAATGTGCCCTGCAGTTGACTGTAAACAAGGCCTTTTTGTGGCAAACACAGTGGAGAAAGTGTTTCCAGTTATAGAAAGTGAGGAGAAAATGGGGACAAAACATAAATAAGCTGCTGATTGTGCCCCAAGAAAAACAAACAAACAAACAAATAAACAAACAAATAACCCAAAACAATTCTTCTTCAACTGCAGTATGTTTGTATTGCTAATGGTCATTTTCTGTTTAATTTTGGGCGACTGTGAAGTGAATGTCAGTGTATTTAAGTCTCATCGAATCTGCTGCTCAATGATGAAGAACTGATGTTCAGAACGACGTGATTGGACAGAAATTGACCGGAAATTATTTATAAATAATTTTGACAATTAATTTAGTTATGTATAAAGTAGAAACACTGAACTCTTTCCTTTTCCAGTTTCCTAAATGTGAGGATTTGCTTATTTTTCTCCTCCAACTTTATTTGAATATGTTTGGGACTTATTTAAACGTGCTCCATTAACTAAGGCTTTTTCCCACAATTCTTAGTTAATAGTCCGTTAAATCATAGGAGTAATTCATAGTTGATCATTCATTCGATAATACCTATACTCAATAGTTGCAGTCTCCATCTGGACAGAAACGTCCCTGAATCAGCGATGCTTCATCTGACTCATGAACTCTCACAGACTCGAGGATCAGAGAGTCAGCTGTGCTTTTCCATTCTCTGGGAAAACGGCTGTGCTGTTTGCTGCCTTGTTGTAGCGCCATTTATTTTTACTGCTTAATTACCATACTTATGTCTAGTAATTTGTATTTTTGGTGCTCGACTGTTTTCTACACAATAATTAGGGCTGGGCGTTGATTTGAATATGCAGTCTGGGAGAGGTTCAGAGTTGCAGCATGGGGGTTAACTGAGTAACTAGTGTATGGATTACCTACACACACACAAATTCAACACATGAGTATGCTCACATATGCACTCGGAGGTGGTTCAACACACACGCATTGCTATTTGATGTTTGTGTGTGTTTGTGTACACAGTGGCTTGCTCCCTTCAGCGCATCACATCAGACCTGTCCCTTCACTACACACCCCAATAACAAGTTTCTTTTAATTCAAATGTAAATAGTGTGTGTGCATGAGTGCGTCTTCTGAGTGAAAATTAGCGGCACCATTTGTGTGTGTGTGTGTAGGGGAAAGGGGTTGTGGGTAGTTTTGGGGATATGTTGGGTTCGTTGCAACATTCCTCCCCATGGGACTGTGTGTGTGTGTGTGTGTGTGTGTGTGTGTGTGTGTGTGTGTGTGTGTGTGTGTGTGTGTGTGTGTGTGTGTGTGTGTGTGTGTGTGTGTGTGTGTGTGTGTGTGTGTGTGTGTGTGTGTGTGTGTGTGTGTGTGTGTGTGTGTGTGTGTGTGTGTGTGTGTGTGTGTGTGTGTGTGAGACCTAGAGAGTGTGCTGGCGACAGTCGCCTGTCTGTCCTGGCTGACGCTCACCACATGGAGCTATTTACACCAAGCACACTCCGCCCCGCTGGACACACACACACACACACACACACACATACACGTTTCTGTCTTTGTCTCTCTGTCTTTGTGTGTTCTCATATTCTTTTTCTTTATATTCTCAACCACTTTCCCTTTTTTATATCCCTCTTCACGTTGCTCTTTATCTCTTTTCTCTCCCTCTCTCTTTGTCGCAGTGTGTTTGTGTGCTCTTTCAGGCTTTTGTGTCTCTGTCCAGTGGTTCATTGTTTTCAGAAGGTGAAGCTCTGTTTGACTGGAAGCAGGTGGCAGGCAGGGCTGTGAGTGTGTGTGTGTGCGTGCGTGTAATCACTGTTATCAGTGCTATCTGCCAGAGGACAGGTGAGAGCAGAAAGCACACACACACACACACACACACACACACACACACACACACACACACACACACACACACACACACACACACACACACACACACACACACACACACACACACACAGGGAGAACATCTGCATGCTGTCGTCACAGTTAGCTTGCTCTCAGCTTCTTCTTCATCCTCTTCATCTTCTCTTTCTTTATTGTCCTCCTCCAGTATCTTCTTTTCTTCTCGCCTTGTATGGTCTTTGTCAGCAAACAATGTACCCTTAGCCCTGTTTTCCCCTTAATGGGTCAACTGAAACTATCATAAATAACAAATTAAAAGGACTAGCATTCATATTTAACATAAAACAAGTAAATATAGGTTGACTAATTGTTTTTCGTGGTATATTTCAATTAAGGTTTATTTAATTGGTTTTTGGTTTTTATGCTTTTTTTAATGCTGATTGAAAGAAAATGAAAAAATTCACATCTTTCGTAAACATAACATAAAATAGTGCTTTTTCAAGATTCTTGACTAATTGATTAGTCGACTCAGAATGAATTGAGTCAACTAAGACAGACATTTTCTTCTGTTAGTTTCTATAAAAAGCGTGAAATTCAGAAACCAGACCAGCCAATCACTTTACCTTGCTGCTCGTGGCAGTGAAGTGGGTGGTCTGCGTCGCACATAATTGTCTGATTTATGCTTCAGGATTGAGAAAATAAGGTTGTGCACATTTGGGTTGGGAAACACTAATTATTGAAGCAGCTGTGAGTAAACATTTTAGAAATTTGTTCTGGATGGTGACACTAAGCATATTGAAGAAACAGATGGCTCTCTACAGCGAGACTGTTTAACTGATGCTATGCTGCAGAGACCTATGCTAAGAAAGCTATATATACCATCAGGCATTGCACTTAAGGATAAATGGTACACTGAAGAGAGGAGAAGGAGTAAAAGTGTTTATTGTGAGATAAAATTCCACTTGTGAATTACTCCAAGCATTTTGTAAACAAATAACTCAATACAACTTTTTTTTTTTGGCTCATTTATTATGGATTGTCCGCTAACATTGATCTGGATTGAATGAATTGTGCAACAGCTATTATGTAACAGTACAGAGAAATTATCTGAGTATCCAAAAGTGTTTTCTTTTGTTACACCGATTATATATTCCGCTATCCCTGGATTGTGTGTAGGAAATGAATGAGTGATTTCAGACAGACAGTGCTGCAGTCATAGTTGTCTTATCTTTAAGGCACATAGTCTCAAATTATCAAGCCTCCTGATGAAGATGAACTAACAACCAAATGTAAAACCAAACATTTCTTCCATGTTCTTTCTCAGTTGCCATTCCTGTGCAGTCGGGCGGTGCAGCTTGGCTCTCTCTACGTCCGGGGGCTGGCCCACCTGTTGGGGGCTAACTGTGCGAGCGGCGGCCCGCTGCCCGGCGCCGCCCTCATGCCTTGGAGCAGCTTCGATGGACGGCTGTTCCACTCAAAGTACCTGCTGGCTCACAGTGGCTCAGACAACACTGTGCTGCTGGACCGCGATGTGAGTGGAGATGGAAAACAAAAAGGGGAATGTGTGTGGTTGTGTTGTATGTGGCATGCTTTTGGGGAGAGACAAATATTACACAGATGTCTTCTGTTGCAAAACTTTTACAATAAATGAAAAGATTGATATTGAGATGTAATCCATTGTGTGTTTTTGTCTGACTCTCTCCAGCCGTTCTGTTTGTCTCAGTTTCTCTGCCTGAGAGAGAAACTTACAGAAACCTGCAGGAAGCGAGGCAGAGTCCTGCAGTCCAGACCCAAAGCACCACAACAAGCTCCTGGACCTCCAAACAGAGACAGACACACAGGTGAGACACAAGACTGATCATTAGAGATTAACACTAGCCATTTACAACCTTAGCCAACTTTACAAGTTGTTTCCAGTAGGGCAGATAATGAGAATCCTTGAGATGTGTCTTAAAGGTCCCATGACATGGCCATTTCTACTGATCATAATTCCATTGTTTTGGTCTACTAGAATAGATTTACATTGTTCAATGTTCCAAAATCACATTGGTTTCTCATACAGCATCTCTGTATAGCATGTGTATTCACTCTCTGTCCTAAACGGCTTGTTGGAGCTCCTGCCCCCCCCCCTCCCTATGAGCCCACTGTGCTCTGATTGGTCAGCTCGCCCACTCTATTCTGATGAGTCCATCACCGTTACAGCGGAACATCAGTGTTTATGTGTTACAATGGTGTTTGTTAGCAACCAGAAAATGACAAACAGATGAGAATGCTGCGTGGGGTCTGGGTGCCGTGTTGGCGGGATGTTGCAGGGCTCGCTGCTCGGCCATTTGAGGCTCGAGGAGCGGACAGTGTGAGCTGTATTACTGGTGTCGTTTCCTGGTTGCTGCGTGGGGTCTGCGAGACAGCGAGACACCGCGGAACTCAGCCTGAGCACACACACACACTCACAGCCTGGCTGTGTGCAGAGATCCGCGGAGCCGCGGCTGAGAAAAGATAAGGCTGAGTGAGTGTGTGTGTGTGAGGAGCTCCGCGGGTTGGTCCATTTGGACCTGGGTATCGTTACGTCACTATACTCGGGAAGAAAAAAATGGAAAAAGAAAAATCTCCAACGAGGCGTTCTGGGGCAGCATAGATAGGTCTTTTCTGTGTTAGAGTTTTACTCGCTACAGGGTGTACTTTGAGGGTTTGTGACTTTGCAGACCGTTTACATGCAGAAAAGGCTACATAACACACAAGGGGACGGGTACTAACCGGAAAAGCATGACATGGGACATTTAAAAGTGATTTGTGCCTTTTATTTTATTCTCCTTCCTAACTTTTACTCAAAATTCACTCTGTCTCTAAATGTTTTTTCTTTGTTCTCTCGTGTAACATAATTATGTTCTATTTATGCTGGGACTCTTTGGAAAAAGAGTTTTTGATCTTGTGACCATCTTGGCTAAATAAAGGTCAAAGAGAGAAAACGTTTTGACCTGAATTAAGAAATGTTTGGGTGTTTGTAGGGCGCCCTGGTGGCCCAGTGGTTAAGATGCATATTCTGTAACCACAACGTAGCCTGTGCAAATCTGTCTGGAGACCTTTGTGGCACGTCACCCTCTTTGTCTTCCCATGCATACTTTTATACTGTAAACCAGCCAATAACTAAGCAAAATGTCCCTCTATAAACATTATAAAAGTAGAATTATGATGTTTGTATTGTTTTATGCTCATGTGGCTCTAGTTTTGGAGCTAGTCTTTATTTCGAATGACTGTCCGAAGTACAGAGAAGTAAAACGTCCCGCAGTGATGTGTTCGTTAGAAGTTAGAAACACGCTGTGGCTGAAATGAAAAACTGATGAAAATACTGCTGGAGCCAAACATTGCACTCTGACAGCTCATCTGTGGTTGTAGTTCTCTGGTGCCCCTCACCGAACCACATTACCCAGAGGGCCGCGCTGTAACGAGCTCCATGTGTGCTGCGGCCTTAATGCATACCACCCTGTGCACGTGCACACACACGCACACGTGCACACTTAGCTCCAGACGTGCTTTGTCAGTGCACTAGTAATAGTAGGTTTCTGTTTATAGGCTGAGAGAGCTCTATTTTAAGACTCACAACAAGACTCACTGATTACAGGCCTCTCTCTTCTGTCCCCCCCCTCTTTGTGCTCCCCTTCCCCACAGTCGTTCCCCTCCGTATAACTTCTCATCCTTTTATTTTTCTTGATTTTTTTTCTCAACCCTTTCTCTCTGTTTCTTTCCACTGTTATTCACTTTCTGGTGCTGCGTACAGAGCCTTGACATTCTCCAGAAGCTTTTCCTTGGTATTATTCACAGATTTTTAAACCCTTTCACCCTTACCCACCTACGACTTTGTTCGTGTTAGTGTGGCCTTTCTGAATATGATCAATCTCAGATATCTGCTTATGAATGCAGAATCTGTAAGCGACTGTATACTGAGCTTTTATAGTCTGAGTTGCATTTACCAATCAGGTTTAAGCAACCTTTGGTTGCATGCAGTTAAACAACTCCTACCCGATTCCCTCAAGATACTTTGTCTTTGGTCAGGCCATTGCAATTAAAAATGTGATCATAACTAGTCGAATACAATTTTAAAAAATCAGTCTCTGATACAAGTAGAAGAGGTGCAACCAACCTATTTTTGTAAGACCTGGAAACAGCTTTTGATTTTATGGTAATATGGCTACTTGTAAAACAGTTTTTGCCACTCAACACCAACTCCATTCTCGTGTCTCAAACTGCTCATCAGGATGTAAACAATGCACAGTAGAGTAAGTCTTGGCCAGGATATCCGCTTGCTACACCGGATCCCCCAAAGTATTGGCCGTTGACAGATAGTGCATGGTGTCTGAGATTGGAGCATGATGCTCTTCACTTGGTTGTCTTGTTCTCCCTTCACAGCGCGGTGGTCAGAAAATGACTCAGCAGTCATTTATTAAATCTGAACCCGCAGTTTCTTTTCAACCCTGTTCCTTGTAAACCTTATCCATATCTCTGCCTGCCATGTTGTCGCAGAGTCTCCAAATTGCGCCAAACTGTCTGCGTTTTGCCCAAGTCAACCCTTAGTGGGTCTCATGAGGATGTTTCTGGTTTTATAGATGGAAGGCTATACACTCTTTATACCTCAGTGTTTCATTTCTGCCAGACTCAGACACCAATCATTACTACAGAACTGTGGGGATACAGAGAGTGTGTGTGAGAGTGTGTGTGAGACAGAGAGTTTGTGTGTGCGTGAGAGCAGTGGTGGCGCTATGTGGTATCGTTGAGGGCCCGGTTTGGTTTTTGTTTGGAATCGGGCCTGATGTTTAGTCTCCTCAGCAAATATCTCCTCTGCCCGCCTGCCCTTGCAATTACACTCTTTAACAGTGAATCCAGTATAGCTGCTCTCCCATGGCTCTGCAGTTTATTTCTGACAAAAAAAGTAAATAAAGTATTTTTAGATTGGTTCCCATTCGTGGAGCACATTCTTCTTCTATACTTGCATATCTCCTCCAAAGTGTCCTCTGATAGTGTTTTTCCATTAACTCTGTTCTGACATACACTACATTTCCTCTAATGTTACTTTTCTCCATTTTTGGGGGTTTTAGTCTGACTTTTCTTGAAGACATGCCCACCACAGAAACAGATCTTTAAAAAGTTGCGTTGCTTGTGGCCTGAGTGACACATCCACTTATGCATGGCATGCCTTCATGTGCATTTTCTTCTGCACTTTCACACCCAGTGATTGCATTGACGGTAGGACGGTGGCCGGATTTGGCCGCAGGCTACCGCTCCCTTTTGGCAGAGGCTTAACATGGACTTGGTGTTTTACATAAAGGTCTTTGTAATTGGTCTACAATCTTCCACAATCTGTCAAAGTTCCTTAAGTGAAAAGATTATCACAAGCTCTTCCAAAAGTAAGGATACAATTTATTGGTATCTAAACAGGACTAGGAAAACATTGAGCGTTTTCTGTCTGTTATTCAAGTTTGGAACGAATATTAGAGCAAGAGACCACGATTAACAAACATTTATTTCCTCTTAGTTTAAGTTTTTATATGTTAGATGACAGTTGATCATCCAGCTCTGGGAAACTCTTCTTTCTCTGGATAATTTGACCCCTAACACTGGTGTTTGAGATAGAGAGAGTGAAAAAAATGTACTACGATAAATGAATTCTAGGAAGCCATGCATGTGCACTGAGTTTGTGACTTCAATAGTGTTGAAAGATGCAGTCACTAAATTGTACAGATGTGTGTAGTTGAGAAAGTTAAAATTATTGTTTACTTCCAGGATTGGCTTAGTCCGAGAGCAAGAGGCGAGGACTCATTGGCAGTCTAGCTAAATAATGTACACATTTGGTTTTGGGACTACTAGTGTTATTCCATCACAAGATGATCTCTATTTCCTGCTCGCTTCAAGTGCCCAGAAAATCAAGCACAAAGTATTTCTCTATAAAATGTCAAGCCTAGTCCCCAATACATATAATATAAAATAAATACCCATCATACCACTAAAGTCCATTGCATTGCGACCATAGACAATACTGATAACTGAAGTTGACTTTGGCAGAGCAGTGTGTTCGAGTATGACTAATTGCTCATTGTAATAAAACACGTTCTTTTGGACTTTCCACTTTCAGGTGGTGGGGAGAACTGGAGCGAGAGAGGAGAGACGACCGGAGGAGGATGGAGGGAGAGAGGGGAGGCAAGAGGAGACCCTAATACATGTGAAAACAGAGAAAGACTGTGGGAGAGAGGAGGAGGAGGAATGAGAAGAGAACATTTTCACCCTCATCCCAGAGGTCGATCGCAACGCAGCAGAGGCAGATACCAGCTGGCTCCTAGGTAACCGTGTGGAAATCAGATCTTCGATACGATACGATACGATATACTTTATTGTCCCCGTAAGGACATTTGTTCTGGACTCCGTCCTGCAGTTCCACATACATGTACATATACAAACATAGTAAACATTAAAATACATACACATATCATCACTCATACACCTTTTGAACAAACACAATACACAGACGCACATACTGACAATGGCGACCTATTGCACAATCCTCATGGCCAACATTTAAAAAGTACATTTCATTACATGTGAATGTTAAGAAGCTTAAAGGGGACCTATCATGCAAAATGCATTTTGAAAACACAACCCTCTCTCTTTTCCTCCATACCCAAATCTCTAAAAACGGGGCTGCAACGGAGCTGATCCAGATTTGAATTTTTCTGACGTCAGAAACAGGGAGCTCCGCCTATATGGGCAACTCTCCACCTATCAGGGGAATGGGGGGTTGGGCCACGGCCATTGCCGCTCGAAAGCGCTGGAGACGCTGTTGTACATATGCCAGGCCTGTAAGTGGCGCTGTAGTCTGCCACAAAAGCAGCGAAGAAGACTTCTCACAGAATCAGCCCTTGCAAAAACAGGGCTGGAAAAGAGCAAATAGAGTGAAATGAGGCATGGCTAAAATGCATGATCTGTTTGGTATTTTGAAAAAAAAACTTCACAGACACGTTTTATATAGGTATGGCCCTACAATATATTATTCAAATATAGCATGATGGGTCCACTTTAATGGACATAGGTAGGAATGAGTGCTTATAGCGGTTCAGCCTACTCTTCATCTTCTTCAATGTTTCTTCTGTACTTATCTGCTCTAATGTCATTGTTCCTCTCCTCTCCTCTCCTCTCCTCTCCTCTCCTCTCCTCTCCTCTCCTCTCCTCTCCTCTCCTCTCCTCTCCTCTCAGATGGTCACAGCCTCCTGCACCAGGAACATAACCCCTAACAGAGTGGAGAGAAGAGGAGGATTAAAGGGGAGGATTTGAGGAGTTAAGAGGATGGGGAAGACGTGATGAAAGAAGCAAAGTAATCAAATTTCTCTGAACAAACTGATTAGTGAATTAACCCGTCGGGAATGTTTGTCTAAAGGATGCAGAAGGTAGATATACGGGGATTAGGAGGAGGCAGCATGAAGAGATTAGGAATAAATCATTCAATTTACCAGTTTAACTTGAATTTGTCTTTTTGTGCTCGAAATTGTCCTTACAGATTTTTTTTTTTTTTAAAGTCAATCATTTTAAAGCCATTACTTTATTTTAGGGCAACTTAACTGTCTCACAGTGCCAGAACATTTTAAATATACATGAGCACTCCCCAAACAAACACAGAAAGGCCACTTCAAATGGATTAATGGTTAATCCTCAAGGCTGTTTTTACCTCTTATCTCTCACAATAAAAAGAGAAAGATCTTAAAAGCTGTGTGTGTCCAGTGGCATAATCCTTTTAAGGGAATGGTTTCAACTGGATAAACAGTAACGCTGGTATCAAGTATCGGCTGGGATAGGGCTTCAGCGCCAGAGATTGACACACTTCTGTAAACTGATACCAGGAGCCGTTTTATACACAGAAGAATGGGAGTTTTCTGTAATGGATACAATAGATATTAGGTTATACGTAAACTGGTGTTTCCCCTTGAATTGTTACATCTTTTGTTTTCTTTCTTTCTGTCTCCTCGGAAAACACATGGAGGTCTTTCTTGTTGGAACAACCACTTTTATTCTGTGCATATAATGAAACGTTATTCTTGAATTAAATTAAGACCCAGAACCAGATGACACTATTCGACCTGACAACATTAAAACCTCACTGCATTGTACTAAAGCTGAGTGTGTGGTTTGTGTCTGTGTGTGTCTGTGTGTGGGATCGTTGGGTTGTTGAGGAATGTATAGCCTTTACAGCCGAGCTGACTGTCTTCCTGTAGCACCGTGAACGTCGTAAAACCCACCGGAGAGGAAAAGGATGCAGAGAAAGTTCCACAGCCTGAGTGCTTTCATTCCTCTGTGTTTGAGTGTGTGTGTGTGTGTGTGTGTGTGTGTGTGTGTGTGTGTGTGTGTTTTCCTATAAGCAGAGCATTAAAGAAATGTGAGAGTACATTTCTCAACAGATGGAAACATCTGAGGGGAAATCAGAGTGTTGACAAAGTGATAGTGAGACTTTGTCGTGGCTGAGTTACATCGCTTAACTCTCCTGAGGTTCAATGACACTCTCGTCACACAGGCCTACATTCAGGCTGCTTTAAGCTATATATCTTACATGCACTGAAGATACACACTTATCATTCTATTTTAATGCAGTATGGAAAAGATTTATCCTTAAAATAATGAACGCCAACAACACTGGAGGTATGTGAACCTCGAGACTCCACTATGAAAAGTAATAGTACATTTATGTCTCTCAAATATCCCTTCATAGGAATACTTTACCCCAAAAATTATCATTTGTGTACCAATTGCCTGTCTGTGTTACCTTGAATTTTGAAGGAAACTTTTTATTTCATGCCTTTATGACGAAGAAACAATACAAAAACTGAGAAAAGGTTAGTCTTTTGATATGGTTTTGCTTTTGTTAATGCAGCCCCACATTTTGAATAAGACTTTTCTCTGAGTCAAGCAAGAAGAATACAGTGAGTAGTTGATACACAAATGATAATTTGGAAGGGAAACTCTTAAATATTACTGTTATATGAACATTAAGCTGTTGATGACGAGAAACCAATGCTATTGGAGTGCATAAAAGCAGAGTGACAAGTAATACGTTCATTACAGAGCAAGTCATGTATTGAAGCAGATGTTGAATCTTTGCTAGAAGTGACAGAATAAAATTAAACATGTTATTTGCATTCTGAAGTTGTATTAGGCTTAGAGGACCAGAAATAGAGCACTTAAGTGAATATTAGAGTTTTTAAGGGGATTTGACCAAAGCATCCACTCCCTGTTTTTCTTCTCAGTCTACAGGCAGCAGAAGAAACAACAGAGAAAGTGTGCGTGCGTGCGTGCGCGTTTTGAGGTTAGTGACTGTGGTGAGTGGAGTGTGTGAGGGTGTGTACCATGAGGAGGGGCAATAAGGGTGGGGCAGGCAACACACACACATGACCCGGGTCCATTAGCCCCTTCTACATAATAACAATAACAGGAGGAGGAAGCAAAGGATGGAAGGTTAAGAAGAGAGGAAGAGGGGAAAAAAACTAATAGGAAGAAGGAAATGAAGGAGTGTAAAGGAGAGAGGAAAGGTAAACATTGAGAAGAGGAAGATGAGGAGCGGAGGAAACACCAGAGGGGTGGTCGATGGAGAGGTGGAGGACTAAGAATAGAGAAAACAGGATGAGCGTGGAGTAAAGAGGGGAGGGGAAGACAGAAGAGTAAAAACACAAGCAATCTTGAGTCGGTAGTCTTGCCTCAACCACAGGAAACCCTGTTGGCTGCCCGACAGATCGGCTTCCTGTGTGTGTGTGTGTGTGTGTGTGTGTGTGGTGGAGGTCTGGGCGTGGTCCCTCCAGCAGCAGGGAGGCAAAAAGTTGAACCCCCTTTCGAGGCCTCCTCCCTGGGATAGACTCAGGCCTCCTTCCCCTCCGGTGACAGTCATTCAACAGGCTGTCATTTTTTTCTGTCTTAGTTTCTCTCTGTCTTATCTAAAGTCTCTGAGGCTCTCTTCCTGCCAAAGTCATCAAGCGAGGCACCCAATTGTGTTACCCAGCTGCCCCAAGGGGTTTTGATTTAAACCCTTGTGGTGTCCAATGGGTGGCACCTAAATGGGTCCCATCCTGACCACTAAACCACTTCAACAAACTTTACCCGAAGCAGCCAGGCCACTTTGAGGCAGAGCTCCTGAATCCACACATTTACCTCTGGAAAGGTGGTGTAGTATTTGACACAGGTGTTTTGATATGACGATGTTTACAGTTATGATTTTAAAGGGATAGTTCAGATTGATTGAAGTGGGGTTGTATGAAGTACTTATCTATAATAAGTCTATCTACAGTACGGTAGATGACGGATGGCACACTCCCGGGAAACAGAAAGGAGTAACGGCAGATAGTAAAGCATTGTACTGCAGTGGATGGGCGGAGCTGCAAAACATGTTTTAGCCATATTTTCTTTTCCATTAACCAGTCTCTAAACAATAGCAGAGCCCATAACGTGTTTTCGCCATTCTTGTCTTAGTTAGATTCTTTGCAACTATAAAAGTTTTCTGAAGGTGCATGCCCAACACCCTGTTAGTGAATACAGAGCAGCAAAACACTTTTCTTCTTGCTGTTAGTAAGTGTTGTGCGCTGGTGGACCGTCTCTAGGTATACATAACCCCATAATAGTATCTCCATGTTGAAACAGGTTGAAACATGTAATTTACTTATGTTGTCCGTACCTAATATTTTCTCATCATCCTCAGCTGTACTTTTTTGTGTTAATCAGCAAATGGTTACCAGTAAGTGACGTGAGATGGATAATGCTCCCTTTCTGCAGCATCCAATAACAGCATTTTGGGAGAAAACTTGAGAGAAGACAGCAATTTACCTGAACTACAACACCACCTGTTAACACATGAGCATGCTGTTAGCGAGTGTAATTGTTATTATTATACGGGGAATTATACATGTTCTAGTTAGTTAACAAGCACCTTCAAATTGGTGTTTACTCTTAAGATACAGAGTGAGCATAAGAATCGGAAAACCTGTTAAACACATTTTATAAATATTGCAAATCTTTCTTTTGTCTCAATTAACCCCTGTATTTATGCAATGATGTGTCTTTATTCGTCAAAGCTGTTGTTGAATTCACATGCAAAGAAGATGGCCTGTTTGTTTTCTTGGTTGAATTGTGTGTGTGTGTTGTGTAAGTGTGTTTTTCTCTGTGTGTGTGTGTGTGTGTGTGTGTGTGTAAATACACAAAGAAAGAATCTTGGCCACAGTAATGGCTCTTTTGTTGTTTTTTTCGCACGCACCAAATTGACACAGTCGTCCAAAAATACACAGAGCCATAGTGAGCAAATATAACCCTTCTGTATTTACAGCAGAGACTATAAATATAAACGTCTTTCTTTAGCTGAGGCCAAAACACAGAGGGAACAACTCCCAGACTGCTTTGTGCATGTGTGTGTTGGAGTAACTCAAACTAAACCAGGCCTATTTAATTGGCAGCTCTTTTACAACCTTTATTTTAAATATACAATTGTGTTAAAAAGATAAAATAACATGATTAAAAATGTCTGGTTTATCTTGAAAATGTAGTCTGGTTTAACGGCACCTTGGCTAACAACTTAAAAAACGAACAACAAACTTCTCATTTCTATATGTCGCACCTAGAACAGTGTGGCGTATTGAGAGCTAATGTACTTGCAGGAGTTCCTGCTGTTTGTGTCTTCATGGTTGATTGCACTTACTGAAAGAGGCTTTGGATAAAAGCCAGCTTAATGAAATGTAAAGCAATGTTTCACACGGGACATCTTTGAGTGAGAAGATGATAAAACATACCAGTTATTTGAGTCTAATATAACCACAGATAACACTCATTAAATCGGCTGAAAACACTCACCAGGTGTCTTGAGGTTTTCACTGCACAGAAATGGGGGCGTGGCCTCTCTTCACCACCAGGTCAACATCAGCTCATACACTGTGTTTGGGTCCAGTGGTGGCTCTCTGTCCCGCCCTCCCTCTGCTCCTCCAATCAGCTCCCTCCCTTACTCCTCTCATCCTATTTGATCTCTTTCCACCTCCACCCATCTCTCCCTCGCTCTTTTGCCTCTGTTGCGTATCTCCAACCCCTCCCCCCCCCCCCTTCTCTCCTCTCCTCTCCTCTCTCTCTGTCCTTGAATGAATGCTCTCTGACTAGTGGAACATATGCTGCTGGTTGTTCAATACCCTCCCTCTGAGCGGGGGCGCATCCATGCATGTGTTTGTGAGTGTGTGTGTGTGTGTGTGTGTGTGTGTGTATATATGTGTGTGTGTGGGTGTGTGTGTGTTTGTGTGTCTGTCCCCTGTGTGAATACGTGTGTGTGTTCATTGAAACATATGCCTCCTGTTGCACATCGGCCATCTGTTCCTTGAATGGACTGATGGAGTGCTGCTGTAACCATGGTGATAGGCCATTCAGTCAAATAGCCCGTCAAACAACCCCTGGCTCTGTGTGTGTGTGTGTGTGTGTGTGTGTGTGTGTGTGTGTGTGTGTGTGTGTGTGTGTGTGTGTGTGTGTGTGTGTGTGTGTGTGTGTGTGTGTGTGTGTGTGTGTGTGTGTGTGTGTGTGTGTGTGTGTGTGTGTGTGTGTTTTTGTATGTGTTTATGTTTAGGAATTGACTGGCAGAGTGGAGGAATTCCCACATGTTGATGAAATGAGATTGACCTTTTCAAGACGACCCACTCCTACGTTATCCCGTTTCTCTTTTATTCTCCACATTCACACACTTTTTTTTCATACTGTAGCTGACTGAGGTCATTGTCCTACTAACCCAACCTCACCATTTACACAGCAGGACACACAACATTTTACAATACACCATTTAAAGACAAAGATAGAAATATCTACATACACTTTTTAACAGAGAAAATAAAACATAGTGGAGAAACTTGACTTGTGTTGTATTTAAATCAGTGTTAATCTAAACATTTAATAATACGAAGAAGTTAATTAGTTACATCAATTGTTGCTTTGGTTGTTTTTTAAAACATGCCTCATTTAGCTCTTGCTGAAAGTGTTTTGTTTTGTTTAAGTATTTTTGTATTTTTTGGCCTTAGGGAAGCTTGAGAAACAAACTATTTTCAATGATTTTATTATGATTATTTATGGTTGAAATACATATGTAAAGTTTGAAGGTGAGAAAATGTTAGCAGT